AAATTTTTTTAAAAATTAAAAATACGCTAAATTTACTAATATATCTATATATAAAAATTACTTAATTAGGAAATATAATAGTAGCTATAAGTTCTTATAGAATATAGAATAAGCGCTGAGTGGCCCTAGGTTCTTATAGAATATAGAATAAGCGCTAAGTAGCCCTAGGCTCCCTAGGCTCCTATAGTAAATTGAGTTACGCTAGGCTACGGTCTAAAATACCGATATATAATTATTTTCTAATTTAGCTCCCTAGTTATATACCTTATCCTCTTATAGCCTTATCGGTATACCTTTCTATTAATACTCCTAGGTTCCCCGAGGGTATTCGTATAAGGTAACCTATTTCTTAATTATCGTAATACTATCCTTCCTTCTAGTAGTCTATTATCCCGATATACTTAAGGTAAGTATTCCCCTCTTTTAGTCCTTTCTCTATTCCTCCTTCTTCCTTATAGCTTACTATAGATAGGTTCCGCGTTACTAAGTCCCGTAAACCTAAAATCCCTATAATCCTAAAGCCTCCGCGTCCTCGTACCGAGGCTAAACGGCTCCTCGAAGTTACCGCCGCTATCGCCGTTAAGGAAAACGAAGCTATAGTATCTTATACCGAGTATATTAAGTATAACGTAATATATTATTATAATCGCGATTAGTCTATAAAATACGCGGACTATCTAAAATATTAATAAACGTATAACGGAACGTTCTCCTTAGAAGAGTTTCGTTAGATTAGTAAGTAGAAGAAAAAGGCTAAAAATAATCTATTTAAAAAACGCCGCCTAATAGTAGATACTCGGCGGAAATTATTAGAACTAAAGGATAAAGGAATCTAGTCCGAGTTATAGTTATATTATTTAAAAGATATTTCCGATCGAATAATCTAGCGCGAGATAGCTATTCTTAGAGTATTTAAGAATTATCTAGATTCCTAATAGATTATCCTTAGTAATTAGTTCCTTAATCGATATAATCTACTTCCTATAGATTAGATCGACTCTTTTTCTAGTAGTACCGAACTATAAGTTTTAGGTTAAGGTTTATTTCTAGCTCTTACGTATTTTCCTCCTTTAAATATCTTAACTATTTAATTAAGTATTTTATTTAGTTATTTTCTCGTCTATATTAGAGTATAGTTTCTATATTATAAAAGGATTCTTAGGTTTCTTTATCGATATATACTAGTCCTAGTCTAGCTTCGTCTAGTACCTTTTCTAATAGCGATTTATAGAATACTAGGTATATATTTAGCCCTCCTAGTAAGTATAGCTTATAGAAGACTAGTTCTAGTTTTTTCTTAATTTAGTATAGTTCGATTTTTATATAATCTAGTTTCTTACTTAGTCTCTATATTTTTATATTTTTTATATTAATATAAACTATCTCCTCCTCCTAGAAGTCTAGTCCCTTAGATCTTTTCTTATTTACTATTTTTATAGTTATTCCTAATATTTTATCTAATTTTATCTTTAGTAGAAAATATAGTTTATATAGATCTTCGACCTTTATCCTTATCTTTTCTACTATAGGTCTATCGCCTAGTAGTTCTTTTTTAAAATTCGAGTATCTTTCGTAATTTATAAAGAATAGCGATATTCCGGTTACCGATATATTATTATTAAAAGCGAATTAAGCTATTAGTAGTAATTCGACCTAATTCTTTTACTAATAATCTACGTAATATCGTAAGTATTACTCTATTATTTAATTCGTTCTTTCTATTTATCTATCTATATATAGGTAATATAATATTAATATTTTATATTTAATTCTTAATAGGTCGGTTAATAATTACTAAAACTATAAATTAAATAGTTTATCTCTATCTATAATAATAACTTCTAGTATTCTATATTATATAAATACCGTTCTCGTAACTATATATACATCGGTGTTTTGGACCGTAGCCTAGCGTAACTTAATTTACTATAGGAGCCTAGGGAGCCTAGGGCTACTCAGCGCTTATTCTATATTCTATGAGAACCTAGGGCTACTCAGCGCTTATTCTATATTCTATAAGAACTTATAGCTACTATTATATTTCCTAATTAAGTAATTTTTATATATAGATATATTAGTAAATTTAGCGTATTTTTAATTTTTAAAAAAATTTAAGGTTTAAGGTTTACGCTAAGGTCGGCTAACTCGCTAGTACTCTAGTTAATTAACTAACTACGCTAATAACTTAATAATTTAAAATATC